GATTTAATCATGACTCACTTTGGCTCAGGGTGAAGCACGAAATTAATAATATTAAGAATTTTCTCTCACTATAAAATCATTCTTCTGTTCATCTTTGTGTCCATCACAATTAGCGCCGGCAACAGTGAACAAATCTTTTGAGTTTGGTATAAGCCAGATGTGCACCCGTATGTACAGAGTTTGGCACTCTGCATCTTCCACCAACTCTGTTTTTATGTGCAAATCTAGATTGAAAATGGAAATATTAAAACCTTAAACTGTGTAACAAACTCACTTGTGTGACAACGTTTGGCTATGAGCGGTGCTGGGGGTGAGTTTTCACTCTCGCAAACAAGAATGTGCAAATGGGAACCTTTATTATTTATAGTTTAGTTCTATAGTTCCTGGAAGTTTTTGGTCAAAATGGGGCTTATGTTACGTCACATAGAAACAAGGGAGAATCTGTCTGTTACTGTTGGGGTTTCAGGTGGACCCAGGAGCAGACACAGAACACAACAGGAGGAGGTTTTTAACTGAAACCTCTTTAACGATAATCGCAATTGCAAGAAGTGTAACTAGAGAGTAGGTCGGCTGAGAGTACCTGCACAACAAGGGAGACAAAACAATGTTGATGAGCAGTAGGAGACGAGGGGTATTTAACCAGCGGCAGATGAGGTGATTGGAGTCAGGTGTGCTGCTCAGCCAGGTGCCCAGAATCAGACACACACACACACAAACAAGGAAAAAACAACAGAAGTTGGTCAAATCCTCACGCTGCCCATATTTCCTTTTTCAAACACATCAACTATACAAGGACACAGTGCTCCCCTGCTGCCTAATACATCCCACCTACTGACAGGTGCCATGGTAAGGAGATAATCAGTGTTTTTCACTTCAGCTGTCAGTGGTCATAATGTTATGGCTGATCTGTGTATTTAAACTTCAGGATCCGTGGGTCTCAGAACACCTCTCGATTAAAGCAGTATCCTTCAACGATCAATGCATCTTGATATGATTACACCTGGACTTGTTTTCAGACAAAAGCATCTAGGACAAGTTATTTGCCTAGTTATAACAGGCTTCAAGATGCCTTCACGGCAATAACAAATCTAAAAAATCCACTAAATGAAACACAAACAAAAAAATCCATTAACTAAAAGTCTGCAGTCACTCAATCGTCCATGTAAATGTTCTTCTCACTAGCAGGTCATAAGTAACTAATAAATCACAATAAATAACAAGCGGTCTTTATAAACACCAATCAAATCTGCATGTGTGTTTGAGCACTTGGCTTTGCTGTGCAGACCCCCTCACCATATAAAATCTCTATCGTATCTGTGTTTTCTTTGCAGATTGGCTTTCCCGTCCCGCCGATCGTAAACACACTCATAAACCATAAACACACACTCAGCCATTGTTCCATGTTTCACTTGGAGCAGATGACTTACGTTATCATCAGACTGCAAACCCACAGCATCGGCCAAAAAACATTAATGTTTTGTGCAATAAGACTGGTGTTCCTCCCAGTGCACGCAGCCAAGATACTCAGAGAGGAGTGACAGGAAAAATGATCTGTGTTATTAGTTGTCAGAGATGGCCTTAAATTGTACGTCTCAACACAATCAACAGTTAGTGTGATTGTCGAGGTGTGAATATTTTCTGGTGGCTCCTTTAATAGTTTCCTCTGCAACCACTGATATTATACTTTTATTATTACCCACTTGTTCTATTCCAGTAACGCCCTGCTTCACACATGGTTGTGGTGATGGTGGAACAGGAAGTCTGTCAGTGGCTTGCTTAAGGTGCTTGCTTAACAGTGATCTGTTGCAGATCAACATCAAGTTTAAGAAACAGGGACACCCATTACAAGATGCGTATGTGCGGAAACACATGTATGTTAGTAAACTTGTGCGTCTTTTGGGATCCCTCTTTCTATTTCTCCCCCAAATGTTGGTGGTTTGATAACCGGCGTCTACTGTCTTCATGTTGAGAAGTCCTCATGCGAGACATTGAGCCCCTAACTGCAACTGTCTAGTACAATTTCATAGCATGAATTAATAATCAATTAACTAAAAAAGAAATCTATAGATCAATTTATAATGAAAACAATCATTTGTTGTCTCCTTAGAACATCAAGCCTTGTTTCATTCTTTGTGTTCTCTCCTGCACACGATAGGCCTTATAAATGAAAAGCTAAAATGCACAGGATTGATCTTAATTTGAGGAAACAAAAAATAAAGAACTTGTGTTTTTCTAAAATGTCTGTTGATAAGAACAAAAGTTTTACAACGAGTAATCCTACAACAAAATACGTTGCGTGTAACTGCCCTCCAGAATGACACGTAGAAGAAGAACATACAACGGCTATATCGGCAGGACATCACTTGTCTGTGTTTTCCCAAAACTAATGGAAAAATGTACTTGTTTTATGGTGTGATAACAGTATGGTCAAGATTTGGATAGGTTTAAGCACAAACAACACTTGCTTAGGGTTAGGGAAAGATCATGGTTTGGGATACTTTAAGTAAATTGTCAAGGTTAGGGAATCTCCATTTTCCATTTTACTTGTGTGTGCGCTCAATATGGGTATACCGTAAAACTTTGTATTGTAATTTATAGCCTAGGCATTTATTAGTTAAAATCACCGAATTGACTCTGCCTTTATTTGGGATAGGCGTCCATATAGGACAATTCCTCTCATTCGCACAAAACTGAAATAGGCTACTATGAAACAGTTTATTTATTTCAAACAGTATGAATATTACTTGTATAAAAATTATCCAATAATATCAAATGCATTTAATCTAGCTCTGACCGATGGCTTATGCACTTTTATTTTGAAGGCAGCAACGTAACGAAAACAAAAACAGGGTGCAGGATGAGAGAAGTGTGGCAGAAGTTAGTAGACAGAGAGCGATGGACTTCACATGACAGGACAACTCGGATTCATTTTTATGAAAAGCTGTTTGGATTCTTTTGATCGGTGGACTCTTACAGACTAAAGGAATATAAATTATGAAGGAATGGACACATTCGAACTTAAGGTTCAAAGGTAACGGGAGTTGGCACTTTTCTTTTTTCAACTCTTGTACCATGCAGGTAAATCTATGTAGCCCGTGGAATTCGATGCCACACAGGACACAATTACTTCAGGGGTTCCTGTAGCTCCAGGGTTAATTCTGACCACATGTGCAGGTAATTTCACAGAGTGGTATGCTACCAAGTCTTTCATGTAACCAGCTCGAATGCTGAATTTTGTCTCTAAAAGCCAAAAATGAAGAAGAGGCAGAGAAGGAAGAGGCAAATTAAAATAAATATATGGTAGAAAATTCGGCAGTGAGCTATGAACTTCACCAAGTTCCACCAAACCCACGAGGAACTTCCCAGAGATCACACAACTCAACGCACTTTCAATGTCTATTACCATGAAATTTAGTGCACAGTGGTAGACGACTGGCGGCCAAAATCCCAGCACAGAGTTCCAGTAGTGCTATTCTACACAAAGAAGTCTCAGCATCAATCCCTCTTACGTCCTTCTCACGTTAAACTGGAAGAAAGTAATAGGTAATAAATTTCCATCCATCCATCGTCAACCGCTTATCCTGCATACAGGGTCGCGGGAGCCAGTCCCAGATGACATCGGGCACAAAGCGGGGTACACCCTGGACAGGTTGCCAGTCCATCGCAGGGCCACACATAGACGAACAACCACTCACACCTAAGGACAATTTAGGGCAACCAATCAACCTAGCCTGCATGTTTGTTTTTTTTTGGACAGTGGGAGGAAGCCGGAGCACCCGGAGAAAACCCACGCAGACACAGGGAGAACATGCAAACTCCACGCAGAAAGGCCGGGGTATCCGGGGTTTGAACCCACGACCTTCTTGCTGTGAGGCTAACCACCGCACCACCGTGCCGCCCTGGTAATAAATTTTAATGACAAAAAATGGTTCAATGTTCATCATGCGATCATGCAATACCGAATTTCCCCTCACAATCCTGAAGCTCTTTGGAAGCTTGGTTCTTACACCCAAAGCAAAGCTCTTGATGGACTTGGATAAAAGTTAGAATTCAGTGTTTCAAGGTATCATTATACAGCAATACAGTTTTTTAGCAGTCACAGAAAACTAAGTACTGATATAACTACAACATCCCTGGTCGACTCCAGCAGGGGACGTTTGCTGCTATCAAATGTCCATTGCAGGTGCAAATGCCCAAAAAAGTGACGTTACACTACTGTTTTTGGTGATAAAGCTGGACAATACATTAATAGGTGATGGAGAAGGTAAAATGATGGGCATTTACATGAAAACATCACAGATTAATTCATTTAAAATAGTTTAACTATCAAATCTAATGGAATGAAAAATGTATATCTTAACACCTCATCAGAACCGGTTTCTTGTGGTTCTGTTTTGTTGGCAGGAAATTGTATGAAATTCACATTCTCTTGGCTTTACTTAACTTCCAGAATTGATAATGCAATGCTGCAAAACATTACAACTTGTGGACAGTGGGGGATGTTTCATAATTTTTATCATTTTCATAGTCATATATAGTCATACATAGTTATACATAGTCACCATCACTGTTGTTGTCACTTCCCATATTTCTCACGAAGTTTGTTACCTCATAACAGCGTTGGGCGTCCTGCCACTTACAGTGCTGAAAACACCAACTTCCCCTTTATGGATTAATAAAATCTCTTGTTTCCATAACTATTTCCACTCACTCGTTTTCACATTTGTGCAGATTTGATATAATTTACTTATTTAATCAAAGCCAAATAATGAAAAGTTGTGATGTTTAGTGTCTCCTCCTCAAATGTGAAATGTTTTTTATCCACTACATGTTGTGTTCACATCAAGTACCTATTTATTTATTTCTCGCCACATATTTCCTGTTGACTAACTGCCAATGACCAGAAGCAAGATATAATGAGGAAGGACTGATAGTGACGCAAAAAGGACGGCCTGTCTTTGGTCTATCTTTGACAGTGAGAAAGGTGGGGGCGAGAGGTTTTTAGGTAACATCCTACAGACATTTAGGAAACACAATGACGGAGACCAACCAACTGTAGAGACAAACGCATCAGAAGAAACTAACATGATGAAGGGATTTCTTCTGCTCATCCTTTTACTGATGGCAGGTAAAATAATTACCAACACTTAATTACTGATATTACTAATGAAGGTTCTTTGGTCTGGTTTTATTCTTTTGTGTTAGTGTGCTTTACTACAGTTCAATTAAATTTCAATTCAATTTTATTTATATAGCGGCAAATCACAACAACAGTTATCTCACAGTGCTTTTCATAAAAGAGCAGGTCTAGACCGTACTCTGATGTTATTTACAGCCTGTAATAAGAGTAGAAATCCTACAGCAATATACTGTACTGCAATACTGTAGAGCTCCAGTACTCAGGCAACTGCAACAAAATACAAAATTCAGGTTTGAAATCTCAAAGAAACAGTTTCCAAACATTTACATTTGAACAGACTGGCTCTAACTATTACTCATTTATAGAGCAGCTAACGAAGTATCTGAAGTACACTGAAACTCATTTGGTGAACAGGAAATAATGTGTGTGTGCGTGTGTGTGTGTGTGTGTGTGTGTGTGTGTGTGTGTGTGTGTGTCGGGATTAATCCTGCAAGGGTTTGGTAGTATGATCCAGGCAAGATCATATTCTGGTAGAGATATATAAATTGCTAGAGATCAGATTCAGACTATAGCACTGAAACAGTTTCAGAATCTGACATGATGTGAACTTTTGTTTTTGATCTACAGGCTGTGAGGACTCGTCTGAACAGTCTGGAGAAGATTCTGAAGTGATAAGATGCAGAGAAGGATGGGTTGAATTCACTTGCAAATATCCAAAACAACATGAAAGTATTTCTGTAGTTACTCCCAAAAACACAACCATACAAACCACTAAAAAGGATGTGTGGGAAAACAAAGGCAGAGTTTCCCTGTACCATGATACAAACAATAAAAATCTCAGGGTGGTCATCAAACAACTTGAACCTGAGGACTTTGGGAACTACACCTGTAAATTTACACGACGAGACTCATCCAGTGACCATAAAGTGAAACTGGAAGTTGGTAAAATATGCTGCATCTTTTTTTAATACTGCCTCTCTTGTCCTTTCTTAAAGCACTGTTTTAAAGGGTAACTACCTACTAGACTCAACCTCTGAGTCTTGCCAACTACATTATGGTTTTCACACACAATATTTGCATTGTTGGAAATCACCTGAATTAACATCACATGCCAACAAGAATCTATGTGATTATGTGTACAGCACAAAAATAATTTTGTGTAGCTTCTCTTTAAGAAAAATGCAACACAAATAAAGTAATGATTATTATTATTATTATTATCAGTGTCAAAGACACAGTGACATTTGTCAAAACATCACTAAGAGAACAATAAATCATAAATAAAGTCAGATGTAACAACATATTCCTCTTTTTAATCTGTTACCACCAATCTACCTTGGTGTGCTTGTGAGGGATAGACGTATAATGTAAAAAACTAACTAACTACAGTTACATTTTTTAAATGTCTTTCAATGCCTGATGCCAATTTGCCATAAAGCACACATTACAAGTCATGACAAGCATGTTTACTGTAATGGACATATTTCATGTTGTACCTTTCTTTTTTTTTTGCAGAGAAAAAAATGTGCCAGAGACAATTTAATCAAACTGCGTACAGAACAGCTAAAACCACCATCACATGTAATTACACAGGAAACAAATACAAGTTCTTCAGCAAAGAGAACGGTTCAATCTGTGAGGATATTTTATCAACAAAATCCTCTCTGAAGTCAAACGGGACATTCACTCTCACAGAAACCAACAGTAGCTTCAGCCTGTCCATCAGTAACGTGTCCTCACATGATGCTGGTGTCTACCGGTGTGGAGTGGAAACACATGAAGGAAGTTACAGAGCTGCTCTCAGAAAGATACAGCTGAAGGTTGAAGGTGAGCAGCACACATCTGACACTTTGAGCTTTGATTTACTCACACAGATAATTAAGGTGTCTCTGAAACACAGTGGGTCACTGATGGACCTGCTGTCTGTCTGTCTCTCAACAGATATTACTAACCTCACAAAGTCTCTAACTGTTGGACAGGATCTTACATACTGGTGTGAATATCCAAATGGTGCTCTGATAAACAAATTCATCTGTAAGGGAGAAGATCCATCTATATGTCAACCTCTAGTAAGCACACAGCAAAACAAGAAAACTGGGAGGTTTTCCATCAAGGAGGACAATAAGAAGAGAAATGTCACCATAACAGTGAGAGGAGTAACAACAGACGACACTGGGACGTACTGGTGTGGAGCAAAAAGCACTGACAAAACACGCAGCAACCCATTCTTCCATAAACTGGTGATGACTGTAGGTGAGTCTTCACAGGAGTTTTTAATTTAATTTAACAACAAAATACACCGTGTGACTGCCCTCCAGAATGACACGCACAAGTGTTTTGTGATCTGACAACCATGTCAGCAGAACAACATCATGGGTCAAGGTTTGTTAGGTTTGACCACAAACAAGACTTACTTAGGGGTTAGGGAAAGATCATTGTTTGGGTTACCATAAGGTACTTAGGTTTAGAAAATATTTATTTATTATAGAAATACATATTTATGATGATCTATGATTCTGGTCTTGCCACTCCCAATAACTTTTTTTATCATGTGGATATTATTGACATTTATTCATTTAGCTGACGCTTTTATCCAAAGTGACTTACAATTGCTATACATGTCAGAGGTCGCACGCCTCTGGAGAAACTAGGGGTTAAGTGTCTTGCTCAGGGACACAATGGTGTATAGGTCACAGTGGGGGGATTGAACCCGGGTGTCTCACACCAAAGGCATAGTCTTTTCCATTGCGCCATCACCACCCCGATATTATCTGACCTGATGTAGTGAGAAACTGCATTATTTGAAATACTGTATCATGTCATATTCACTTTTTTGATATTTGCTTCTGCTCCACTTTATGAAATAAAAGCTACAATAACTGCTGATTACTGGTCAACTTATATATTTCATATATATTTTCATATACATTTTATTTGCATTGTTCACCTGTACAGTTGCAGCACAAATGGATACAGACCATAGAAATAATTAGAACCCTTTGATTCTTATTTGAAGAAGCAAATCTGTGTCTGACACCCTGACAAGTCCCGGGCTCATCATGGCAATGTTTCCAGGTTTTTAATTAGTGATTTAAAAAAAATATGTATTTATTTTGTCTGCCAAATTGTGTTTTTTATTTTCTATACTTTGCTACTATTTATCTGTTATATCTATTTTCTAGGGCTGGGACAAAACGGTGATGGCTTTTGGTATAATAATTCTACAACTATAACCATTGCTGCGGTCATCTGTGTAGCTGTGCTGGTGCTTGGGCTTATTTTTGTTCTCATCTGCAAACGTAAGAAATTCACACATTCACAATTCGCACATTCACATACATACATGCAAACACACTTCTCTTTACTTTCTTACATTGTCTTTTTTTTCTTTTCCAGGATTTAAGCGTTCAAAAAACACAATAAATGAGGAAGCACAGTACAACAATGAGGCAAGTGTACATATTTTAAATTACTGTACTGTGTGTGTGTTTGCGGGCATCCGTATTGCTGGATGTAATTGAAAACAGGTGGAATTTGCATGTCAAGGTGGGTTTGCTTGGGAACTAAGAATTGGACTAAAATGCTGAAATAATAGGCAAAGTAAAGATCAATGATTTAACTGCAGGATAAATCAGCTTACAGGCAGACTTGTAGGCAGACAGGCAATGCACAGGTAACAGGCAGGAAGATACAGATCCAGGTAACGCTAAAAATAAATAAAAAACGTAGCAACTAAGCACATGGAAACTAGGATGAAGTGACAATGAAAAAGGGAAGGGAGCTGTTACAGTATATTATATTATATATTATATATTATATATATTTGGTTGAGTTGCAGGTGAGGAGTGGGCAGACTGGGCCAAGTAACTGCTGGGCTGATGAGAGAAGTGGGAACACGAGTATATTTGGCTGTGGCAGTCAGGAAAAGGAGGGAAAGCCTGAGGGTATCTTGCAGAGAGCTTGAGGATAGCAGGTCTGGAGAGTTAGAGAAAGAGACAGAGAGCAATGCAGAGGCCCGGAAGGAGAGAGCGTGACTGAAGAGAGGGACTAAGCCAGAATCTGTACATGTTTGATGCCTGAGGCCTCAGAGTTTGGGATACAGTATTAGCTGTACATTAAATGCTTAAATTTTAACATTGCAAATTTACTGTGCATCCCATGACTTATGGGCTGAATTGCCAAAAATGTATGCACTTGTCAATTAAAGTCTGTGAATGTTTTGTAATTTACTGTTTCTAGCAGTGGTTCACTAACTTGACATTGTCTTTTCATCTTTCTTTGTTGTGGTGTAAGCTAACCTGCCACAGTTTACAACATGTTTGCTATCATTTAATTTAACCTAAAATCCCAATACAGGTGAGACTGATGGGAATGTAAGCAGGTATTTGGCATATGTATTAGATCAATTGATATTTTTGACTGATGGTGACACTCATATATATATATATATATACCACTGGATAAGAAAACTCTCTGGCCTGATGATGGGCTGGATGAAAAGATGAGGAATGTTTGGCTGCAGTGAAGCCCGGGCAGCTTAGTATGGTCAGTGCTTATTGTTAGGATTGCATAAACTAATCATCTTGTGTTTTTCATTCTGCTCTGGAAGGATCGTGCCTATGAGGAGATACAGGAGCTCCCCCAGATGCCAGGTTCAGGAAGGGAACTTAAATCTGTTTACGCCACTGCCAACTTTCCCACAAACCCATCTTCTGCCTCGCAGCATTACTACAACATCAATATTCATAGTTAGTGTGGTGACACATCATGCTGTGAGGGACAATGACCAATTTCCCATCCAATCGACTGTTAATCACCCAACCAGCTCTTCCGAAGACACTTTTTATTCTTTTTATTGTGACAGTTAATTGTATATTGATGTAATATTTTTACAGGACTAAATTTGAGGTTTAGTTGCAGAGTGTCAATCAACTAACACCTCAAAAAGGAATTAATTTAATCATCACCTGAGCAATATTCACTGAAATAAAGTTTATCCATGACAGATTGCATACAGGTGTGCTTGATAGTATGTAAGACATTTACCTATTTAATCAATAATTTGGCATTCTTGCAGCAGTTTATTATTGTTGTTACCGTTACTGAATTTTTGACTTTATTGTAAAAGGCAAATTTTTTGTTTCATGTTATGGTGGATTTATAGACATATTTCTTGGCCTGGGTTCAAGAGTTCAGTCTTAGAGAGGTTTAGTTGAAGGTGGCAAGCCTTCAACCATTCAGATACACTCACCTAAAGGATTATTAGCAACACCTGTTAAATTTCTCATTAATGCAATTATCTAATCAACCAATCACATGGCAGTTGCTTCAATGCATTTAGGGGTGTGGTCCTGGTCAAGACAATCTCCTGAACTCCAAACTGAATGTCAGAACGGGAAAGAAAGGTGATTTAAGCAATTTTGAGCGCGGCATGGTTGTTGGTGCCAGACGGGCCGGTCTGAGTATTTCACAATCTGCTCAGTTACTGGGATTTTCACGCACAACCATTTCTAGGGTTTACAAAGAATGGTGTGAAAAGGGAAAAACATCCAGTATGCGGCAGTCCTGTGGGCGAAAATGCCTTGTTGATGCTAGAGGTCAGAGGAGAATGGGCCGACCGATTCAAGCTGAGATTCAAGAGCAACTTTGACTGAAATAACCACTAACTAACCACGTTACAACCGAGGTATGCAGCAAAGCATTTGTGAAGCCACAACACGCACAACCTTGAGGCGGATGGGCTACAACAGCAGAAGACCCCACCGGGTACCACTCATCTCCACTACAAATAGGAAAAAGAGGCTACAATTTGCAAGAGCTCACCAAAATTGGACAGTTGAAGACTGGAAAAATGTTGCCTGGTCTGATGAGTCTCGATTTCTGTTGAGACATTCAGATGGTAGAGTCAGAATTTGGCGTAAACAGAATGAGAACATGGATCCATCATGCCTTGTTACCACTGTGCAGGCTGGTGGTGGTGGTGTAATGGTGTGGGGGATATTTTCTTGGCACACTTTAGGCCCCTTAGTGCCAATTGGGCATCGTTTAAATGCCACGGCCTACCTGAGCATTGTTTCTGACCATGTCCATCCCTTTATGGCCACCATGTACCCATCCTCTGATGGCTACTTCCAGCAGGATAATGCACCATGTCACAAAGCTCCAATCATTTCAAATTGGTTTCCTGAACATGACAATGAGTTCACTGTACTAAAATGGCCCCCACAGTCACCAGATCTCAACCCAATAGAGCATCTTTGGGATGTGGTGGAACGGGAGCTTCGTGCCCTGGATGTGCATCCCACAAATCTCCATCAACTGCAAGATGCTATCCATCAATATGGGCCAACATTTCTAAAGAATGCTTTCAGCACCTTGTTGAATCAATGCCACGTAGAATTAAGGCAGTTCTGAAGGCGAAAGGGGGTCAAACACAGTATTAGTATGGTTCCTGATGATGTTCCTAATAATCCTTTAGGTGAGTGTATGTCCAAGAGGCAATCCCTGATCTGTGCTGAGAAGGTGGAGCTGTCTGGCAGGTAGAGCTGCGCATCGTCTATGTAGCAGGGCCGGCAGTGTTGGAGCCCTAGGCAAGAATTTACATTGGCGCCCCCAGCCCACCCCACCTGCCCAACCCTAAACAGTCTGTGACATTACCCACTGCAGTGTGTACAAAGTTCTGCAGTCAAACATCTGAAAAGCCAGGTCAATAATAAGTGTACCAAACAGAGGAATAGGGGTTGGACATGGGGCCTTTTAAAAGAGGTTGGGAAAGTTCAACTATGAAACTTCATCTCGTAAGGTTCGCTGAAATCAATTTCAGATGTGTAGCTTGTGGCTGCTTTTGCGCGAGTCGACAACTTTTCTAACACAGGCAAACATCAAGCAAGTCTAACAACACAAGACACAGCAAGCTAAGATATTATTGACCAGACCAATCCAATCTTAGTAGTTCATCTGTCCTGAATACTGAGCTAGCTTCCCAGCAAGCAATTTTGCATTAAAAAGACGTCTAATAACCGTTTTAACAGTTCAGACGTCTAGGCTTCAACAGGGTTGAATTTGGGCTGTCAATGAAAAGTTAATAGACTTCTAACCATAGCCAAAGAACAGACTAGTCAACAATTCGGCTGCTACTAGATGACTACATAAAGGCTTAGGTCTATTAGACAATGAATTGGGGTCTAGGCTAAAACAAGGCTACATATGGGCTGTCAGTGAAAGTTTAGTAGATGTCTAACTGTAGTGAAAGAATAGACTGTTCATAAAATAGACAGCTTTAGAATGACTATATATATATACCTCTAATTGACAGCAAAAATAATGGCTAAAGGATTTTTTTTACTCAAATATAACAGGTTCTTATAAATGGCAATCCATCCAAACAAAGTAATTATAAAGATTTTTATTAAGAAAAATTATTACAATGTAGACAACTTAAGATAATACATGATATGAAGGAAATAATCAAAATATTATCATTATATGAGTATATTGAGCACAAATACAAAATTATATAACAATTATGAAAAAACTACAAACAATTTTACCAACATTCTGTATTTAAAATTAAAGAGTGACAACATAAAAGGGTTTGGCTATATCCAAATCTGGCGCTTCAAGGTAGGGTATGATGAGCTGGATACCATATTGTGCCAGACAGATTTTACTTACAAGAGAGTATTAATATAGGCCTACTCCTCTGTCTGTTTTATTATTTATTTAATTATATATTGATTTGTCACCTGGTGGAAGCTGATGTTCTTCACGGTTCTTCAGTTGAGTTTGAATGAAGCTTTTAACGGTCTCCTCTGGGGCTTCACCCGCCTGCTCCGTGATGCCCGAAATTACCAGATCATGCTGCATATTAAGTAACGAGCCTGGACCTTTGAGGACCTTGTTTTTCCGCCGCCAGCTCAACCAATTCAGGATCTCTGTGAAATCTGCGCCTTGTGAGGAGACTGCTCCAGGTGATGTTCCAGGTGAGTCTTTGGTGCGGTTTCTCTTTGATTTCCCCATGACCACTCGATGAAAACACTGGTCAATGTAAACTTCAATGTCCTCCAAACACCCGTCCTCGAGGACCTCCAGTGCGATTTGACTGCAATTATTTGTTAATTGGCTTAAAATTGGCGGATTATTTGGTTAATGAAATGTTTGTTTAGCTGCGCGCTGCCATGTTTGAATTGCACCAAGTCTCACGAGATTACACAAACGCTCACCGTGTCATCTCCCCCCTCGGTCTCTCACTCGGCGCCAGTCTCTTAGATATTTGGGATCCATAAGTATTGAATATGTAAGAATATGAATATAAGTAAGGATTGAATATGTTTACTCATAAGACATGTCTTACTATCAAATGTGTTGAAATTAAATAAACACACAGTATATTTTTAATTATCATTCTAATGAAGGTAAAAACAGATTTAATTATCACCTAGATTATTTCCGACAGTAATGATTGTGAATTGTTTTTATTTTATTTTACTGGTAAGGTGGTGTCAATCAGAGCCTCTATTACCCCAGCGGCCTCTTACTCAGAGGTTCCTCACCAGCAACAAAATAGTTTTAACCAGTTTTATCCCATCTACTTGTCTGAGCTTTTAAAAACAGTATCACAAACAAGTGTGTCTTCCAGCCCACTTGATGTAGTACTTTAGTTTTTACTAAAAGTAGGCTACTGGATTTTGCAGGGCCCTGTTTGCTTTCTGTTTTTAACAGCTCTCTATCTACCGGTTGTGTCCCTGACTATTTTAAAACAGCTTGTGTGAACCCACTATTACAATAAGGCTGGATCTGGATCCCTCCCTCCCTCAAAATTTTAGACCAATTTCCAAATTACCTTTTAATATCAAAGATTTTAGAAGGAATTGTGTCAAAACAATGGCTCTCTGTACTGGAAAATAACAATATATTTGAAAAGTTTCAATCTGGTACCACAGCACTGAGACTGCCCTGTTTAGAGTCATCATTGACCTTTTAATGTCCGCTGATGAAGGTATGTGCTCAGTCCTAGCACTCCTGGACCTTAGCGCTGCATTTGACACCATTGATCTCAACATCATGTTAGACAGACTGAAGCACTGGGTGGGGATCTCTGGTACTGCCCTAGAATGACTTTCATCCTACCTGTCCAATAGGAGGTTATGTGTTTCTGTGAAAAACTATGTATTTTCGTTCTGTGTGGTTAAATATGGTGTGCCTAAGGGGTCGGTCTTAGGACCCATTTTATTTTCCTTGCATTTGATTCCCCTTGGACACAGTATCCAGAAACATGGTGCTTCATTTTATGTTTGCGCTGATGATACACAGATGTACCTGCCCTGACAGACCCTGGAATGCTGAGTTCACATATTAATTGCCTCAAAATTGGATGTCTAAAAATTTCTTCCAGCTGAACTCAGACAAAACATGGATCCTGATCACTGGGTCCCAGCAAATGGCAAAGCAAATACTGCCATCTGCTGGTTCCCTAGTGGATCATGTCAGGCCATGTCTTGGCATCTAGTTTGACAGTAATTTTAGTTACCACAAAGTTTATGCAATCATGTTTTTACCCATTTATAAATGTCAAAACTGATGTTAAATTTTAAGGCCGCAGTGTAAAATTTTTCTTTTGCGTTGGTTCAGTTTGAACCTCACCATGGAACATCGATAAGAATGTAGGAGGGACAAGATGACGAAGCTTGGCGGTTATGGTTTTCTACAAAATAAACAGAAACACACAAGAATTACAATACAGTTAACCAACGTATAACATAACACTTAACAACTAGGTACCTAACAAACAAACATTTGTACTCTAACCAAGGGGGGTGAAGGGTAGGCCTATGCCTTTCCTTAACAACTACATTTAACAAACCATGTGCACTGCGCACTTACACACAATGTGATATCTGTAGTCTCAAGGCCAACAATCACTATGAGGATCATAGTATTTACTAAAATATATATATATACACACTAGTCGAGCATTCAATCACATCCAGTTTACAAATAACCATTAAGATCCAGTAAATGTGAAAAAGGCAGTAAACCAAAGGTGTACATCTGAATCACAGAGACGAAAGGCCCTCCCGTGTGGTTTGTGTTGCTGCCAGCCAGAAAAAAAAAGGGAATGCATGGAGCTTATAAAGTAGACCATTGATTAGGAGTGAGTGAGATCAGGTGAGATTGGGTGGATCTTTGCCATGGAAATAGTCAGAGGGTTGCTGAGTAGTATGGCTCTATTCTACACTGAGACCATCTTACACACCTTTATATCATCACGCTTGGATTACTGCAATATGATCACATCACCCCTGTTTTAGCTTCATTACACTTGCTCCCAGTATATTTTAGAATAGACTTTAAAATCGTATTGATTACTTGATTACTAAGCTCTTGGCCTCTCTCCGTGTTATATCTCTGACCTTTTAGTCTCACACACACCAGCACATACCTTGAGATCCTCAGGTCTTCTGTCTGTTCCCGAGTCTCGACTGAAAACTTAAGGGGACAGTTTGCAGGGCCCCGAGGATCTGGAACAGCCTGCCCGAGGGAATCAGGGCAGCTGAGTCAGTGAACTCTTCTGAAGTCTAATATACTTTTATAGAAGAGTCTTTTCTGAATTTTAGTTGATTTTAATTATCTATTTTTCTTTTAACTGTATTTTATTTTCATAAGTTTCTTCATGCTTTTAAATATAAATGCTCTGTATTTGTATAGCGCCTTTCTAGTCTTTGCGACCTCTCAAAGCACTTTTACACTACATCGCATTCACCATTCACTCACATTCATACACTGAGCATAAGTACTCAAACAGAAACATCGGTGGAACAGCCACCAGGGGCAATCGGGGTTCAGTATCTTTCCCAAGGACACAGCCTCCCACCATGAATCCTATTTTGTTTGCCGTGTTTTATTTTCTTTGCTCTTGTGAAAGAACTTTGTAACATTGTTTTGAAAAGTGCTCTTTAAATAAAGATTATTATTATTGTTATTATAATATTACTGTCTTCAAGTTGACAAGTCCTTATGCGAGACATTGAGCCCCTGACTGCTCCAGTCTATTGACAATTTAATACCATAAATGAATAATCAATGAACTGAAAAGAAATCTGTAGATCAATTTATAATGAAAACAATGATTTGTTGTCTCCACAGAATGTCAAGCCTCATCATGTTTCATTTGTTGTGTTCTCTCCTCCTGCACACAATGGGCCTTATTAATGAAAAGTTATTTTGCACAGGATTGTTCTGAACTTGTGTGTGAACAAATTAAGAAGTTAGTTTATCAATGTTTTCTCATTTCTAAAATGTTTGTAGATAAGAACAAAAGTTTTACAACGAGTGATCCAAATTTACCAACAAAATACGCTGCGTGACTGGCGTCCAGAATGACACGCACAAGCGTTTTCTGATCTGACACCCATGTCAGCAGGACGACGTCACTTGTCCGTGTTCTTGGAAACTGTTAAAAAATTAACCTGTTTTATGGTGTGACAACGTTATGGTTAAGGTTTGTAAGGTTTAAGCACAAACAAGACTTACTTAGGGGTTAGGGAAAGATCATGGTTTGGGTTACAATAAGGTACTTTTTGTTCATACATATTAGAAATAAATTTTTATGATTAGTGAAATTCACTTGGGAATCCATTACATTACATTACATTTACTCATTTGGCAGATGCTTTTATCCAAAAGCGACTTATTTTAGGAACAACATACAGGCATCAATAAAGCATCATCCCACAGGAATCACATGACCCACAGGATCCCGTAAAAATGTCAGCCAGGACCAACACTCTATAGATCGTAGGTGGTTGGTGCCAAGGTTTAAAGCTTGCTGTCCACATATTGGATTGTCTAATCATTTTGTTCAGCTTTAAAAAAAAAATATGAAAAAATAAAACACCTCGGCTGAAATCCACCTGCATTTGGCGTGTTGGTGGGTGTCAATGTTAAACACTGATTGTTCATACAAACACTCATAACACCCAAAACAAAGCCCTTGACAGACTTTGTTAAAAGTTAGAATTCAGTGTTTCAAAGCATCGTTATGGTGTATTATATTTTGAAAGGTAATTACTGAAAATCAATACCATATAACTACAACATCCCTCGTTTGATTGCAGCAGCATGACACAGCATGTCATACCCCTCATCTCCTGTTTCTGTCTCTCTGCTACCAAACTTCCATTAAAGGTGCAAATGCCAAAAAAACTAAGTAGGCTAAAGTTAAAAAAGTCAATGTTACACTGCTGTTGTTGAAAAAGCTTAACAACAGGTGATGGAGAAGGTAAAATGATGGGCAGCCACGTTCGAATATCACAAATTAATTCATTTAAAATACTTTAACAATAAAATCTAATGACATATTAATGTATGCCACCTCATCAAGACCAGTTTCTTGTGGTTTTGTTGGCACAATATGAATCACATTACATCAGCTGTCAACAACAAAAAACCGCAAGTAGCTTTTGCTGCTGATGTTGGCATCAGTTACTGTGTAAGTTGTTAGTGAATGTTTTTGTTTTTTCAAACAGTTCTTACATACAGGAACTTTGATGATGATGTGATCTGAATTTTTACAAAGTAATTATATAATTAGAGTTAACATATCCAGTAAGAATTGCGTGTTCAGCAATATTAATGTGGGTAAATAAACCTGAAAAAAAAAAACCTGTGGAAAATAAGCTCATAAGCTAAGACTGGATGCGAATGCTGTGAGAAGGGAAAGAAAATATAACATTTTAGGTAAGATTTCTTATAAATGGTATAATCATGTGTTGTTTTCTATCTCACCATGGTCCACTCAGTACTCTTTAGCTTCACTGCTCCTCTACCTCGCAGAGTCTAATGCTCTTATATAATTATATAAGACTACGTCAATCAGACATTCAGTGCATCATTATGGTGTATTAATACAGTACTAAAGTTTTCAGCAGTTACTGAAAGGAAATTACTCAATACCATATAACTACATCATGGACTCCATCAGGGGACCTTTGCAGCATGTCACACCCCTCATTTCCTGTCTCTCTCTCTCTGCTACCAAATGTCCATTTAAGGCAAAAAAGTAAAAAAAGTAACATGTTACACTGATGTTGTTGACGATAAACCTTGACAACAGGTGATGGAGAAGGTAAAATGATGGGCAGTCATGTGAGATTATTATAGATTAGTTCATTTAAAATAGTTTAACAATAAAATATAATGAAATGTGAAATGTATAACATACCACGTCATCAGGACCAGTTCCTTGTGGTTTTGTGTTGTTGGCAGGAAATTAATCACAATACAGAACTTGCCAACAACACAAAACCACAAGTAGACAGTGGAGGATGTTTCAGTATTTTTATCATTTTCATGGTCATACAGTCACCATCACTGTTGTTGTCGTCACTTCCCATATTTCTCTCGTGAAGTTGGTTAGCTCATAACAGCTTCTGGCGTCTCCTGCCATTAACACTGCTGAAATCACCAACTTCCCCTTTATGGATCAATAAAATCTCTAGACATGATATAATTTACTTATTAATTAAAGCCAAATAATGAAAAATTATGAAGTCCTATGTCTCCTCATCTATTATATATTGTGTTTACGTCACCTACTTCCTATTTGTCCAGAGTGTATTTTTATTTCTCGCTCTCACTGACCACGTATTTCCTGTTGACTAACTGCCAATGCCCACAAGCAAGATATAATGAGGAAGAAAAATGTAGGAACGGATGAAGGACAGACTGGGGCGAGAGGTTTTTAGGTAACATCCGACAGACATTTGGAAACACAACACTGGAGACCAACCAACTGTAGAGACAAACGCATCAGAAGAAACTAAAATAACCAACTGGAGGATAATAATTTAACTGAGGAACTCAGCATCTGAAATCAACATGATGAAGCGATGTCTTCTGCTCATCCTCTTACTGATGGCAGGTAAAACTACTACTAATACATGATTGAATATTGATATTACTAATGAATGTTCTGTGGACTGGATTTATTCTTTTGTGTTAGTGTTCTTTATGACAGCCTGTAACGAGAGTAAAAGCAATATACTGTACTGCAATACTGTAGAGCTCCATCACTCAGGCAACTGCAACACAATCCAAAACTCTTGTTGAAAATCTCAAAGAAACAGTGTCCAAACATTTACATTTGAACAGACATCTGCTTGGCATAAAAACTCATTTGGGGAACAGGAAATAACATTTTTGTATATAGAAAATAACAGAAATTAAGCAATTCAACTGAAGCAGTTATAGACAAGTCAGAAGTGATTATCAATAAGCCTCCATTTTACTTTATCTGTATGTTATACATGTAATAATTCACATGCAATCATAACAGTGCAACAAATACATCATGTTCTGGTAGAGATATATAAAATATATTGGTAGAGATCAGATTCAGAATACAGCTCTGAGACGGTTTCAGAATCTGACATGATGTGAACTTTTGTTTTTGATCTACAGGCTGTGAGTCCTCGTCTGGAAAAGACTCTGGAGAAGACTCTGGAAAAGACTCTGGAGAAGACTCTGGAAAAGACTCTGGAGAAGACTCTGGAAAAGACTCTGGAGAAGACTCTGGAAAAGACTCTGGAGAAGACTCTGGAAAAGATTCTGAAGAAGATTCTAATGAGTCTGGAGCATCTAAACTGAAGGGATGCCAAGAAGGATGGGTTGAATTCAGTTGCAACTGTCCAAACAATGAAAGTATTTCTGTAGTTACTCCCAAAAACACAACCCTACAAACCACTAAAAAGGATGAGTGGGAAAACAAAGACAGAGTTTCCCTGTACCATGATACAAAAAAAAATAATCTCAGGGTGGTCATCAAACAACTTGAACCTGAGGACTTTGGGAACTACACCTGTAAATTTACACAAAACTCATCCAGTGACCATAAAGTGAAACTGGAAAATGGTAAAATATGCATCTTTTTTTAATACTGCCTCTCTTGTCCTTTCTTTAAGCACTTTAACTGTTTTAAAGGGTAACTACCTACTAGACTCAACCTCTGAGTCTTGCCAACTACATTATGGTTTTCACACACAATATTTGCATTGTTGGAAATCACCTGAATTAACATCACATGCCAACAAGAATCTATGTGATTACGTGTACAGCACAAAAATAATTTTGTGTAGCTTCTCTTTAAGAAAAATGCAACACAAATAAAGTAATGATTATTATTATTATTATTATTATTATTAGCAGTGTCAAAGACACAGTGACATTTGTCAAAACATCACTAAGAAAACAATAAATAACGAATAAAGAAAGATGTATGTCCCTTGTGAGGGATAGACGTATAATGTAAAAACCAAAATACAGTTAAATTTTTTAAATGTCTTTCAATGCCTGATGCCAATTTGCCATTAAGCACACATTACACGTCATGACAAGCATGTATACTGTAATGGACATATTTCATGTTGTACCTTTCTTTTTTATTTGCAGAGACAGACGGCTGCCAGGGACAATTTAATCAAACTGCGTACAGAACAGCTAAAACCACCATCACATGTAATTACACAGGAAAGAAATACAAGTTCTTCTGCAAAGAGAACGGTTCAATCTGTGAGGATATTTCATCAACAAAATCCTCTCTGAAGTCAAACGGGACATTCACTCTCACAGAAACCAACAGTAGCTTCAGCGTGTCCATCAGTAACGTGTCCTCACATGATGCTGGTGTCTACTGGTGTGGAGTGGAAACACATGAAGGAAGTTACAGAGCTGCTCTCAGAAAGATACAGCTGGAGGTTGAAGGTGAGCAGCACACATCTGATAGTTTGATTTACTCACACAGAAAATTACGGTGTTTCTGAAATATGTTATGATTTAAATACTGTATCATAAGTACTGATTACTGATCAACTCATATTTCCTCTTATTAAGTTATGTTAATAAACAACAAAAGAATCATTTGTTCACCTGTACAGTTGCAGGCAACACATTTAATCCAAAATGGATACAGACCATAGAAATAATTAGAAACCATATTATTTACTTTTTTGAAAAAGTAAATCTGTGTCTGACACCCTGACAAGTCAGTTACAGTCACAGGCTCATCATGACATGTTTTCTTTATTTTTAATTAGGGATTTGTTAAAAAAAAATATTTTGTTTGTGAAATTTTGTTTTTTATTTTCTATACTTTGCTACTATTTATCTGTTATATCTATTTTCTAGAGCTGGGACAAAACAATGGTGGCTCTTCGTATAATAATTCTACACCTATAACCATTGCTGTGGTCGTCTGTGTAGCTGTGCTGATGCTTGGGATTATTTTGGTTCTCATCTACAAACGTAAGAAATTTACTGTCAAACAATGATAACATACATTAATTACTCATTAAATAAAAATAATATAAATGTCTGCACTGCCCTTTTCATGTCTGGACATTGATAATTGTCCAGCGTTCAATATTATACCAATTTCTTGGGACAAACAATGGCCAAGTCATAAAATCATATTAAATGAAAATAAACTGGTAAATGCAAACACTGACAGGTGTAATTCTGTCAGTTATTTCCTGGTCAGTTGTATATAAGGTCCTGGTTCTGAACAAACAGACTGTTTCTTTTGCTCGTTCATTCCTTTTTTCTCTTTGCTGTCTTACGTTGTCTCTTTTTCCTTTTCCAGGATTTAAGCGTTCAAAAAGAAATGAAGAAGCACAGAACAACAATGAGGTATGTGTACGTATTTGTGTAAATTTTTGTAATGTGTGTGTTTATGGGCATCTGTATTGCTGGATGTAATTAACAACAAGTAGAATTTGCTCATATGTGTAAAGGTGTGTTTGCCAGGGCGATAAGGATTGGACCAAAATGCAAAAAGAATGGGCAGACAAAGTAAAGATCAAGGATTTATCAGAGCATAAATCAGCTAACAGGCAGACCGATAGGCAGACAGACAATGAACAGGTAACAGGCAGGAAGATACAGATCCAGGTAACGAAAAGGCAAAAAGCAAAACAAGGCAACTAAGCGCATGGAAACTAGGAGTGGGCAGAGTGGGGCAAGACTGCTGAGAAAAGTGTGTCTAGCAGAGGTTCATTAACTTGACATCATCTTTTCATCTTTCTTTGCTGTGGTAAACTACCCTGCCATAGTTTACAGCGTGTTAGCTAACCTTTAATTAGCACTAAACTCCCAATACAGGTGAGACTGATGGGAAGGTAAGTTTTGCAGGTATTTGGCTTTAAGTGTTAGACTAATTGATATTTTAGACTGATGGTGAAACTAAGTGAAAAGTCAGGGCATCACCATGTCACAAGGATGAATGAATGTTTGGGCCAAACCCTCATCATTTAGATAGTTGAAATATTTTACCGGGTAAGAGAAAACTCTGGCCTGATGATGATCTAGATGAAAAGATGAGGACTGTTCTGTCTGCAGTGAAGCCAGTGCAGCTTTGTATGGCCAGTGCTTATTGTTAGGAATACATAAACTAAACATCTTGTGTTTTTCCTTCTGCTCTGGAAGGATCGTGCCTATGAGGAGATACAGGAGCGCCCCCAGATGCCAGGTTCAGGAAGTGCACTTAAATCTGTTTACGTCACTGCCAACTGTCCCACAAACCCCTCTTCTGCCTCACAGCCCGATTACAATATCAACATTCAAAACAGATCGACCGAAGTTAGTGGTGACATATTTTCTATAGTGAGGGTCGATGACCAGTGTCCCGCCTCCTCTACTGTCAGTCACCCAGCCAGGATTCCCAACGACCCTTACTATTTCACTGTCAGCATGCCACAGCAGCACTGAGGAAAGGCCTGACATTTCATATTTGATGTTGTTTTTTAAATTCAAACCACAGTCACAGAGTTTAGAAATTACAGGATTCATTACATTGTTCACTTTGTTGGATTCAAGGTTTAGTTTCAGCATGTCAATCAACTACCACCTCGTAAATTTACACCTGAGCAATGTTTACTAAAATAGAGTTTATCTACGACTGTTGGTTTGGATTGCATACAGGTGTGCTTGATAGTATGTAAGAAATGTACATAATTAATCAATAATTTGGCATTCTTGCAGCAGTTTATTATTGTTGTTATTGCTTTTTATGATTGTTACCATTGTTGTGTTTGTGGTATTATTGTAAAGGGCTCAGGGGTAAAATAAAAATAACATATAAATGAGACTGTAAATAAAGCGTGTGATCATAGTTTTCTTGCTCAAATGCCACCAAACGCCAACACTCTTCATTTGTCTTTTTCTGTTTTGTAAGCATTTGGCAAAATGTGAGCATACTTAAACAAATAGCTGTGCAATAGATTTACCTGTTTCATTGTCTCCTCCTTTGAATGCTACAAGAACCTTGTGAATGAATACATTTATAAATTAAAAATGTAAGTAATAATTACAGTCATTACGCAACAATTTCACTTTATTTTTGCATCAGTGTTTTCAGCCTTGATGCCATAACATCCTCCTGCATCTTAATATTTTTCAAACTGTATTTGATATTAAACCATTTTTACCTTCGCAATGAGTGATCATCTTCATCCTTTAATTGATATTTAGAAATTTTATAATTATTTCTCAGAATCAAGATTGTTACAAAGTCAGACAGACAACAATAAGACAAACAAGATGGTACAAATAAACAAAGGACACAAAATCTAGACAAGTACAAACCAGAATACATAACCTTATTTCATGAAAACTCTAATGAAAAGAAGTTCCTTAAATATGCTCTAGTTTGGCTACTTTGTGATTGTAATGCAGTATTTGGAGTTGAACTGAGCTTTAACTTTGAAAGATTCTGAACGACATTAAAAGAGTCTGTAGCCTGCATGACACACCTCTGAAAGAGCCGACAGAAAAACTTGATTCCCCTCAATGTCCTCTGCCTGGAGATACTGGGGAAATGAAAAAGCGTCTATAGGTTGATGGATTTGGATCAAACACTGAAACAAAAACTGTGCAGCACATGCAGAGATTCGCTGCAGAATCCATTTGCTGAAGAGAGAAAAAAAGAAGTTGTCCCAACATGGGCTCAACCCTTAGGTTGCGAGTCCTGCACTTTGCAAATTGAGCTAACCAAACAACATGTTAATGCAGCTCAATATTATGGCTTATATTGTCATCCACCATCTAATGGTTGAAAATATTGCTCCAATGCAAAACTTATTTGTAGATCCCTGCAGTATATTATTAATACTACTACTTCTTCTTCTAAAGTACGTATTTAACGTAGTGATGAGTGTCTACCTGAATTCTACCAGAACTTAGTGACGAAACACACTCTGTAGCACTGTTTGTCCATTTTCAGCTACTGTAGACACACGACGATGCAACGTGGGAACGTCCATGGAGATATAAATGTCTCATTCTAAGGTAATAAAAACATAACGGTTTATTATGTAAGTTCTTTACACACCACTGAAAACATATGGATCTTATATTGCATTTCTGTCGATGGATCCTCAGAAATATTACACACTGAACCTTTAAGTGCGACTCCAGTCTCAGTCTCAAACTCAATTCCCCATCTCTAACAGAAATGCACAAGCATAAACGTAAACGCTATAATACGCTGTAGAGTTTGGGACTTTGGCAGCAATTTTCAGACTTAGTGTAGTCTGGCAAAAGCTGAGCCAGGTTTAACTTTTTGCCAGAGTGCTATACAAGCAGTTCTCAAAACTCAATAAACCACCAACCTGCCAACAAAACACTAAATAAAAAAGAAACATTGCAGTTTTATTTATTAAAAATATTATTGTCAAAGATAATAAAACATGACAAGACCCTGATTATAAAATTATAATGTAATGTCCTTACCCCTTCAGGAATAGTTTCATGTGGTTTTGTGCTGTGGGTGGAGACTTACATAGGCCTGTGTTTTGCATCCTGTTAATTTTAAATAGCTTTTCTAAGTTAGGGCAAAAATATCTCATGGCTACAGAAAGATGTAAAACAAATAGTAAGAGATGTGTTAATTTAGGCATCATCCATTTCAGTCAGTCAGTCAAGCCTTGTTGGGTTATTCAATTCAATTCAATTTCAATTAAATTTTTATATAGCGCCAAATCACATCAACAGTTATCTTAACAACAGTTAGCGACAGAGGCAAGGAATAATTTCCTTTTAAGAGGCAGAAACCTCGAGCAGAACCATGGCTCAGGGTGGGCGGCCATCTGCCTCGACCAGTTGGGGTGAAGGAGAGAGGGGGAGAGAGAGAGATTTATTTATGTTTTTGATTTTTCAAAACACACTTTTATTAGTCGCTACTTGCTCACACACGATACATTTATATCGTCAACACATCAGCATACACCAGCTGATCAGCCTGGACAGAACACAGCACCCTGCCATGAGCCCACACTGACAAAAAAGTTTCTAAGTCCTGATTTGCTCTGTAAAAACTGAAATCTAACAATAACCTGGACTTCATCATTTTCACAAACAACATCTTCACATTGACGGCTTGATCTGTCTCCACCTTTTTTCTCCTGCTCACATACACGGCCATCTTAGCCTGACCCAGGACAAAGTTTAGCAGCTGACATTTGTTCTTCTGTTGTTGAGTGTATTTAAAACCACAAATAAAAACCTGTTTAGTAAAAAACTCTTTAAAACCCCTAAAGATGTTTTCCAGCAAAACAAACAGAGACATGAGACGTGTGCACTCTAAAAAACAGTGAAACACGGTCTCCCTCTGCAGACAGAAAGGACACTGGTCCTGTACATTCCCATTCAGCACAGACACAAAAGAGTTTACAGCCAGTATTCCATGAAGGATTCTCCACTGTAGGTCTGCATGTCTCTTTGTCAGGGGGGGTTTATACAGAGACCTCCAGGCAGGTCGAAAATCAGGGCTTAAACCCAAATGAGTCCTCCAGGGGGTGTCGCTACATCCATTAAGTGTCTTTTTGTTGAGCGTTTTTACCAACAGTCTGTACAGTGTCTTTCCTGTGGCATCACTCAGAGACACCCCAGCAGAGTTGACCAGTAAAGGTCCCGAAAAACATCGGTCAAGTCAGGAGACAGAGTGGTAAAAGGATATGGGTCAGTGTCGTCCGGCAGCAGAGAGCCGTCTCTATAGTCCATCAGGAGAGAGACCTCGTGTCCCGTCAGCTGATGTCTCCAGTGTCTGAATAACAGACTGACATAGCGGCTCGACCTCAGCCCCAGACGAACCGCCAGACCAGCAGGACGGTCCAACCGAGGTCCGGTCAGCTCCTCCACCTGCCCCAGCGTGGAGATCCTGGCAGTGCGGAGCTTGTCAAAAAGAGTGGGTGAAAACCCCCCAAGACAGTCCAGATGTCCTCCAAACAGAACAGGCTCCTTAAGCAGCCAATACAAGGAGTCAGTGTGTCCCTGTCTCTGTTTGTTCATCAACATCCATACTTTAAAAACACTTTGGTAAAACCCAGGCAGAGAGGACATGCACACACCTTTTAAGTTCATTAAAAACAGAGACAAGCTCAGTCCCAGTCCACCAAACTGCTGCAGAATACAGCAGGACAGTGGCCTCCACACCAGGTCTGCCGGCCCAGTGAGGAATCTCTGGACAAACTGCAAGCGGAAAGTAGCCCCCCTGCTGGCCAAGTGGACCAGGCCCTGCCCTCCTTCCTCTTTTGTAAGGAAAAGCATGCTCTGAGGAATCCAGTGTAACTTGTCCCAGAAAAAATCCACTAATATTCTTTGTATGTTTGGCAGGAGAGAGGGTGGAGGGTCAACGCAGGCCAAACGGTGCCACAGAGCCGAAGAAACCAAATTATTTGCAACCAAAACCCGACCTTTAAAAGACATTTTAGGCAGCAACCATTTCCACTTGTTCAGGCGACCTTTGACCTTCTCCAAAACTCCATCCCAGTTTTTCTTCAAAGATGCTTCATTTCCCAGAAACACCCCTAAATATTTCAGCCCTCCTGTTTTCCAGAAGAGGCCTCCAGGCAGACTGAGCTGACTCCTCAGCCTCTCTCCCACCATCAAAGCCTCACTCTTCACCCAGTTCACTTTAGCAGATGATATCAGGCCATACAGATTTAAGGTTTCTCCCAACACATCAATATCTCTTTGCTTTTTCACCAGAACGATGATATCATCTGCATATGCAGACAGTTTGAAAAGAATGTCACATTTAGGAAAACAGACACCAGAGAGAGCAGACCTTAGTCTGTGAAGCAGAGGTTCAATGGCCAGAGAATATAACATGCCAGACAGAGAGCAGCCCTGCCTCACCCCCCTCTGTACACTAAAGGGAGCGCTCAGGCCTCCATTTATCTTCAGAACACTCGCAATGTCACAGTACAAAACCTGGATCTTGGCTATGAAACGTGGGTTGAAACCAAAGGCAGTCAGAGTCCGCCACAGATACTGGTGTTCAACCCGATCAAAAGCCTTTTCCTGGTCTATTGAAATCAGACCAGTATCTACAGCCAATGAACTAGAGACTTCCAAAACATCTCGAATCAGAGTGATATTGTCACTGATAAACCTGCTGGGTACACAGTAGGTCTGGTCAACGTGAATGACAGACCCCATCACCTGTCTGAGTCTGGAAGCCAGGACTTTAGACAGGATTTTGTAGTCCGAGCAGAGTAGCGACACAGGCCTCCAGTTTTTCAGCTCCTGCAAATCACCCTTCTTTGGTAGCAGAGTGATCACTGCCCTCCTGCAGCTCAGAGGCAGACGACCCGTCTCCAAACTTTCACCAAGCACTTCCATCAGATCCTGTCCCAGCACACACCAGAAAGACTTGTAAAACTCCACAGGAAGGCCGTCAATCCCCGGAGCTCGACCACTCTGCAGACTCATCACAGCACGATACAGTTCAGGTAGAGACAGCTGAGCTTCCAGCTCTACATTGTGCTCATCACTGACCTGAGGAAGATCAGCATAGAAGAGCTCTTCTACCTCTGGATGGTCTGTCAGCTCGCTCCTGTACAGTTCTTTATAGAAACTGGCTGCGTGCATTCTGATCTCAGAGGAATCAGAGACGCAAAATCCGTCTCTGGATCGAATGGAGTGAAAGATCTTTCTCTGCCCGTTTTTCTTCTCCAAACCAAAGAAGAAGTGTGACGGGGCGTCCATCTGTGTGGCGTCCAGGAACCGAGACCTCACCAGAGACCCCTGAGCTGTCACACCCAGCAGGCTGGCCAAGGCCAACTTTTTAGATTTTAGGGAATCTAAGTGTCCCCTGTGGCCCCTACTAGACCCTGTAGTTCTACCACTTCAATCTCCAGATCCTTCAAAGATCTGATAATGACCCTGGTGACATTACGAGTGTACTGCTGACACAGCTGTTTAATCTGGCTTTTTCCAAAGTCCCACCACTGCTGAATACATTTGAAATCAGCCTTAGTTTCTCTGTGAGTGAGCCAGAAAAACTCAAAAGCAGACTTAAAGGCTTTGTCATGCAACAGTGCAGTATTAAAATGCCAATAAGCACTGCTCAATCTGACGTTTTTAATTAAAACAGAACAATAAACAAGACAATGATCAGTAAAACCCACAGGGTTAATATA